ATTGTATGGGGAATTGCAGCATGTTGCATGCATAACAGGTAAGCCCTTAAATATCAAACTAATGTTAAAGGAACAACAAAAGCTACTGAGACAGCACACAATATTAATGTAACAGGGTCCCAGCCTCCAGTCTTGGTGAACACTCACCATCTGAACAATGGGAATCTTGGACCTTAGGAGGCTTCAAACTTGGGGGAAGGTATGGGTGTTTCCATGTTCCATAGGGCTTGTTTGGGTCAGTACGCAGAGCCATGACAGACCTATTAGACACAGATTAATTGGCTAGTTTAATTAACTTTAAATTAACTTTAACAATTAACTCAATTGTTACACATGCAAATAGGTCTGTAGCTCGGGTTGTGGGTGAGGTTGTTGACTTGCTTACCGAGCTGGCTTGTTCTCGTTCTGACGTTTTGTCACTATGCTAGGTGACATCATCAATGGAGCCTCCGATGAAGTGATGTTATTCTACTCCACTTGGAATTTATACTGTTTGGTCAGTTATGGTGAGTAGTGTCATTTCAGTTTTGATCTGAATGGGTTTGTATATGGGGTCCAATTCTATGTGTTTGTTGATTGCATTACGGGTGGAGAACCATGCCTCTAGGAATTCCCGTGCGTGTCTGTGTTTGGCTTGGGCTACTATGGTTACCTTGCCCCAGTTAAACTGATGGCCTTCATTGTCTGAGTGTACTGATATTAAGGAAAGTTCATCGTGCCGTTTTGTTGCTAGTTGGTGCTCATGTATTCTGATGTCTAGTTTCCTTCCTGTCTGTCCGATGTAATGTAATAAATATTACATCCACATAAACATTACATCGGACAGACAGGAAGGAAACTAGCCATCAGAATACATGAACATCAACTAGCAGCAAAACAGCATGACAAACTCTCCTTAATATTGGTACACTCAGACAATGAAGGCCATCAATTTAACTGAGACAACGTAACCATAGTAGCTCAAGCCAAACACAGGCATGCACGGGAATTCCTAGAGGCATGGTTCTCCACTCGTGATGCAATCAACAAACATACAGAATTGGACCCCATATACAAACCTATATAGATCAAAACTGGAAATGACACTACTCACCATAACGGACCAAACAGTATAAATTCCAAACGGAGTAGAACAACATTGCTTCATTGGAGGCTCCATTGATGATGTCACCTAGCATGGTGATGAAATGTCTGAACGAGAACAAGCCACCTCAGCAAGCAAGTCAACAACCTCATGCAAATAGAGTTCTGAAGGTGCAAACGGAGTTCCAAAGGTGCAAAATTTGGATTTTTTTTAGAGTGCCAGTCAGAACCAGCAGCTACATACACACGCAGCCAAAGCCAAACAATGACTCAGAATGATCTGATTAAAAAATGGGAGATGCACAAACAAAGCAAAGGATAACCTAATTAGGAAATGGGAGGCCGTTGTCACAGCATCTGATGGTCCCAAACAACATCAATTCACCTCCATAGACATTTTATGCTGAATAGACACACCATTTTATTGTCTCAGGAAGGATAATATCAAGTCCCTGCATTGCAATTACTATACAGAAACACAATTATCATCCTGCCAGACGCCACTGTGATGTGGCCTTTGCCTTCTCAACCATTAAGTTGTAACTGTTAATGAAAGCATATATAAACCATGTTCATTTGAACCTCAGTGGAGAAGTGCCTGGATTGTACAGCATTGGCTCCTCACATGTTTAATAAAAACACTTGCCTATGCCACTGGACACCAAGTGTTGAAATGTCATAACAGAGTATTTCTCAGACCTTTCAGGGACCAAAAGCAAGATTTAGATGTGGAGACAAGTGGCATGACTGAGCCATAAAAGTATGCTTTGCATCTGTCTCTACCTACATGTTAGATGCTTGCAGGCCATGGTGACAGAGGAGGAATCTTAATCAATACAAAGGATTAAAACTGATGAGGAGGAGGTGTGAGTAAGTTGTTGATTTTAAAGTTGATGAGGCACTTGGACCAGATGAGGTACATCCAAAGATATCGAAGAATGCAAAAAAATGGAAATTGCAGAGGCACTGTCAATAATCATGGAATCCCTACAGCATGGAAGCAGGCCATTCAGCCCATCAAGTCCACACCAACCCTCTGAGGAACATCCCACTCAGGCCCACCCCCTACACCATTCCCTGTATTTCCCATCCTAGACACTATGGGCAATTTAGCATAGCCGATCCACCTCACCTGCACATCTTTGGAATATGGGAGGAAACCAGAACACCTGGAGAAAACCTATGCAGACACGGGGAGAATGTGCAAACTCCACACAGTCACCCAAGGCTGGGTTCAAACCCAGGTCCCTGGCGCTGTGAGGCAGCAGTGCTAATCACTGAGCCACCATGCCACCCCTTTCAATCTTCCCCATATTTAGAGGTAATTCTGGAAAATGTTGAACATTGCAACATTATTCAAAAATAAGATTGTAAAGACAGACCCAGATTTCCCTCTTTAATGGCATTGACTGGACTGCAGCAATTCAAGAAGGCTTACTTGTTTGAGAAGTGAAGAAGGCATTTGGTATGCTTTTTATCAGTTAGTGCATTGAGTATAGGAGTTGGGAGGTCAGTTGCGGCTATGCAGGACATTGGTTAGGACACTTTTGGAATACAGCATGCAATTCTGGTCTCCCTGCTATAGGAAGGATATTGTGAAACTTGAAAGGGTTCTGAAAAGATTTACAAGGATGTTGCCAGGATTAGAGGTTTTCAGCTTTTGGGAGAGGCTGAATAGGCTGGGGCTATTTTACCTGGAACATCAGAGGCTGATGAGGTGACCTTATAGAGGTTTATAAAATCATGAGAGGTATGGATAGGGTGAATAGACAAGGTCTTTTCCCTAGGGTGGGGGAGTCCAAAACTAGAGGGCATAGGGTTAAGGTGAGATGGGAAAGATTTAAAAGGGATCTAAGGGACAACTTTTTCACACAGAGGGTGGTGCGTGTATGGAATGAGCTGCCAGAGGAAGTGGTGGAGGCTGGTACAATCACAGTATTTAAGAGGCATCTGGGTGGGTATATGAATAGGAATGGTTTAGAGGGATATGAGCCTAATGCTGGAAATTGGGACTCGCTTTACTTAGATATCTGATCAGCATGGATGAGTTAGACTGAAGGGTCTATTTCCATGCTGTTCATCTCTGTGACCCTATGACTAAGGCAGCTCATTACCACATTCTTCAGGGCAAGTCGGGAAGGGCAATAAATTCTGGCCCAGCCAGTCATACAAATGCCCCACGAGTGAATAAAAAATAAAGAGCACTCAGCTTGGATCTTGGAGAAATTTCGAGAAACAATTATTCAAGAAGAAAATTTACAGTCACGTGGAAAATGTGGCTTAAATGGAACAGTCAACATGAATTTGTTTAGGTAAAATCTTGTCTAACTAACTGCTGGAGTTTTTTTTTGAAAAGGTAACAGAGAATTGATGACGACAAGGCTGTTGATGGGATGGATGGATTTCCAAAAGCAGTGTCACACAAGCCTTGTGAGGAATGTTGGAAGTCATGGAATAAGAGGTGCAGTAGCAACATGGATACAAAATTAACTGAGGGGTAGGAAACTGAAAGTATAGTTAACTTTTCAGGCTGGAAGTAGGCTTGTAATGGTGTCCTCAGAGGTTGGCATTGGGACCCTTACTTCTCCTGACATATATAAATAATTAGACCTTGGTGTGCAGGGGACAATTTCAAAGCTTGTGAGTGGCAAAAGCTTGGGAGCAGTGTAAACTGAGAGGACAGTATGCAACTTCAAAAGATGAGTGGAATGGGAGGACAGGCGGCAGATGAATTTCAATGTGGAATAATGTAAGGTGATACACTTTGGTGCAAAGAACATAGAGGCAGTGTAAAATAAAGGATCCTGTTCCAAAAAGTGTGCAGGATCAGAATGACCTTGGCAAAGATATTCATGAGTCATTAAAGCTGACAGGATAGGTTGACAGACCGTGAAAAAGCTACAGTATTCTAGACTTCATCAGGATGGGCATAGCACTGAAGAGATGTTATGCTGAACATTTTATGACAATGGTTAGAACTTAGCTGGAGTATCGTGCACAGTTCTGGGTGCCACACTTTATGAAGGACGTGAGTGCATCACAGAGTGCTGGAGAGGTTTACAAGAATGATTCCAGGGGTGAGAAACTTTAGTTATCAGGATTGATTGGAGAAGTTATGACTTCACAACTTCCTCAGAGAAGGATAAAGGAAGATCTGACAGTTTTCAAAATTTTGAGGAGTCTGGACAGTGTTGATAAGGAGAAAGTATTTCTGATTGTGAAATGATTATGAACCTGAGGGCACAATTTTAAAGTGTTTTGTAAAAGAAGCAAATGCGAGTTTCAGAAAACATTTTCATACAGCAAATGGTTTGGACCTTGAGTGCACCACCTGAAAATGTGTTGTAGGCCAGTTCAATTGCTGCATTCAAGATGACATCAAATGATTATTTGAATAGACATTGGGTGCAGGATTGCAAGGCAGGAGATTGGCACTAAGTCAAAATACTGACAGCTGGTGCAAAAACGATGGGCTGAATGGCCTCCTTGTATGCTTTGACAATTCTGTGGCTCTTGTTAGTGTTAACCAATTAGAAAAATTTGGGAGCTACAAATGAGTTGGTGAAGAATTATTCTTTCACAAGCAAGAATATTTTTTCCCATCACACCTTTATTTAGGCCCCTCAAATTTTTGAAAATTTATCAAATCTCCTCTCTAATTTTTGTCTGTTCTGCATTACAGCAAGAAACTAAGCAACAATAATGTATAGATATTTTACATATTGCATAATATAGCATTACTCGCCACATATGACATCGTTACAACGTGACTATTTCAACAAATAATAAATGAAAGATACACTTATAAATAATAAATGTGCTAAACTAAATTGCTGTCATTTGTCTAAAAGCTAAAATGCTGTCAAGGGATTAACTCAAACTAAAGGTGTTTTCTTCAAACGGAGTCTGAGTTTGAACTTTCTACCTCCACAAGATGGCGGTACATTAACCGGAAGCATCATGGGTTGTGGGGGCAGGTGACGTCCTGAGGAAGATGCCATTTCCGGTTTATTTTGTTTCGTGTAATGGAGGAGTTTACGAGGTTGTCGCAGACTGGGGTGAGACCGAAACTGTTATGTACGAAAAACCAAGTGGGGGGTGGTGCTGATGTTGCCTTCGCGGACCTTGAACGAGTGGTCAATGGTTGGACGCTCGAGTTTAACTTGCACTGCGCGATCAAAGCATTCCGAGCTGGGCAACATGAGGAGTTTTGCGCCATCCTGAATGTGATAACAGGTGAGATGAAGAATGGAGACAACAGGGTGCAGGGCTGGATGAACACAGCAGGCCAAGCAGCATATGGAGTTGTAGATGCTGGCTTAAAGATTAGGTACACTTCCGTTGTCTATTAAAAACCCTAAAACGTTGTTGAAATGCAGTATAAACGTGGCCAGGGTTGCTAAAGAGATGTTTCTGGTAAAAGCGTTATTCTTTTCGATGAATCGGAAGAGCATTGAACGGTTTTAACACTTGCGTGAAGTATTTGGGCGGAAATAGTACTTAAGCTGCTAAATATCATAATTTTATGATCGGAATCTCCAGACAAGGCGAATTCGCCTAAAGGTAAACAAAAGTCAAGCTTTTCTTGCACTGAGTTTTGAAGTGGAAGATCACTTTCGAGCGACAGGCTAGATTAGCTGTCAGTAATAAAGAGGGTGCTTCTCGTATTCACAGTTTGAAAACTCCTGAGAGTTTTGAGCAACTTTTACAAGCTTCAGGAACCTGGGTTGTAGTGGTTTGCTGGCGCAGCCGTAGTGAGCTGGTCTGTTCGCAGTTTTATAAGCCCTGTTAGCTCTTTGGTGGATGGCTGGTTTGCAATTTAGAATGATGACAGCAGCGTGCATTCAATTATCGGCCGAGGTTTCTATGAAGGTACAAAAACAAAAGTTGCTGGAGAAGCTCAACAGGTCTGGCAACATCTGTGAAGTGAAAAACAGAGTTAACGTTTCGGGTCCGGTGACCCTTAGAAGGATCTTATGAGGTCTTAGCTTCTCAATCTCTCCCCTCGCCTGAGACATGGTAACCCTCTGGTTCAACCACGCCAGCCGTCTTCGTCAAATGAGAGAGCAGACTTGTGTTCCTCTGGGAGTATGGCAACTTTAATTTTAAACCCAACGTGATTGAGCTCCAAAAATGAAGATTATTCTTCATGAGGAAGTGCATTTCTAAGTCTCACTCCACTGGAAAAAACGAGTAGAGGCAAGGTAGGGTAATAGAGTTACATGGCTCCAGCGTTTTATCAGTTTTGTAGTTTGTCACCCTGTATGAGTTGTTGCCATGATGTGATGGAGAGGCATGTGTGCTTATGCGATATGTTTGGGAGTTCCATACTGTTGAGCTTGAATAGACATTACCATTGAATCGAGGGGCAGTGGATGATAGTCTGTTAGCTGTATGGGGTTCAAAATATATCTGTAATCTGTTTTATTACCCTGATGTACTTGGGTAAGGTATGATTTTCCTGGTTAGCATGCAAAACAATACTTTTCACTGTATCTTGGTACGTGTAACAATACAAATCAAATCAAATTAAAACTGTTCTCTCCAATATAAAAGTCTGTTACTCCCATCACTCAATTGCCTTTTGCAACTACAAATGATCATACTTCCTTCATGAGGAAATCCATAGAAGGGCTGATACATCTGTAAATTGACTTCAGCAGCCACCTTTAATGGTGGCTGTATATATCTAGCATTGGCAACACAGTGTTACATTCTTATAAATAACAAATGCATTGAAACTCTGTGGTTACTGATGGTCAAAGGCCAACTGTATTTTTTCACTTCCGTTTTGCCTTTTGCTTAGCATGCAATTCAACATTTGTTTACCATAACAAAACATCAGCAAACCAGAAAAGGTAAGGAATATAAGAATGAAAAAAAAAAAGCTCTGATTCAATATGTAAATGTATCTACTAGAGAAGATGCAAAACTTGACCCACTCTTGGGAAATAAGGCAGGGCAGGTGACTGAGATGTCAGTGGGGGAGCACTTTGGTGCTAGTGACCACAATTTAATTAGTTTTTAAAAAAGTGATGGAAAAGGATAGACCTGATCCACAAGTTAAAGTTCTAAATTGGAGGAAGACCAATTTTAATGGTATTATGCAAGAACTTTCAGAAGTTGATTTTGTGGCGTTTTTTGGGGTGGGGTGTGGTGGTGGTGGTGGTGGTGGTGGTGGTGGCGGCGGCGGCAGGCCCGATGTTTGCAGGTAAAGGGATGGCTGGAAAATGGGGAGCCTTCAGAATGAGATAATGAGAGTTCAGAGATAGTAATGTTCCGTTAGAATGAAGGGCAAGCCTGGTAAGTGTAGGGAATGCTGGATGACTGGAGAAATTGCAGTTTTAGTCAAGACAAAGAAGGAAGCATATATCAGGTATAGGCAGCAGAAATCAAGTGGTTCCCTAGAAGAGTATAAAGGGAGTAGGAGTATACTTAAGAGAGAAATCAGGAGGACAAAAAAGGGACAGGCAATAACATTGGCAAGTAGGTTTAAGGAGAATCCAAAGGGTTTCTACAAATATATCAATGACAAAAGGGTAGCCAGGGAGAGAATAGGGTCTCAAAGATCCTCAAGGCCACCCTCCTGTGGAACCACAGGAGACGGGGGTGGCAGAGATACTGAACAAGTATTTTGCATCAGTGTTTACTGTGGAGAAGGATGCAGAAGATACAGAACGTGGGGAAATAAATAGTAACATCTTGAAGAATGTCCATATTACATAGGAGGTGGTGTTGGCCGTCTTAAAACATATAAAGGTGGATAAATCATTAGAACCTGATCAGGTGTACCCAAGAACTCTGTGGGAAGCTGGGGAGGTGATTGCTGGGCCCCTTGCTGAGATATTTGTGTCATCGATACCCACAGCTAAGGTGCTGGAAGATTGAAGATTGGCTAACGTGATGCCACTATTCAAGAAAGGTGATAAGGAAAAGCCAGAGAGCCTGCCATCAGTGGTGGGCAAGTTGTTGGAATGAATTCTGAGGGACAGAATTTGTGTCTTTGGAAAGGCAAAGACTGATTAAGGATAGTCAACATAGGTCTGTATGTGGGAAATTGTCTCGCGAACTTGACTGAGTTTTTTGAAGAAGTAACCAAGAGGATTGATGAGGGCAGAGGGATGGACATGATCTATATGGTCTTCAGTAAAGGCGTTTGACAAGGTTCTTCATGATAGACAGGTAGCAACATTAGATCACACTGAATTAAGGGAGAACTAGCTACTGGAATACAGAAATGGCTCAAAGGTAGAAGACAGGCTGTTGGTAGGGGGTTGCATTTCAGACTGGAGGCCTGTGACCAGCAGTGTGCCAGAAGGATCGGTGCTGGGTCCACTGCTTTTCGTCACTTATATAAATGATTTGGATGTGAGCATAGGTGTATGGTTAGTAAGTTTGCAGATGACGCCAAAATTGATGGTGTGGTGGACAACGAAGAAGGTTAGCTCAGAGTACAATGGGATCTTGATCGGCTGCACCAATGGGCTGATGAGTGGCAGATGGAGTTTAATTTAGGTAAATGTGAAGTGCTGCATTTTGGAAAGGCAAATCAGTGCAGGACTAGTACACTTAATGGGAACATTCTGGGGAGTGTTGCTGAACAAAGAGACCTTGGAGTGCAGGTTCATAGTTCCTTGAAAGTGGAGTCACAGTTACTTAGGATAGTAAAGAAGGCGTTTGGTATGCTTGCCTTTATCAGTCAGTGCATTGAGTGTAGGAGTTGGGAGGTCATGTTGTGGCTGTACAGGACATTGGTTAGGCCACTATTGGGATATTGTGTGCAATTCTGGCCTCCCTGCTATAGGAAGGATGTTGTGGAACTTGTAAGGGTTCAGAAAAGATTCATAAAGGTGTTGCCAGGACTGGAGGTTTTGAGCTATAGGGAGAGCTGAATAGGCTGGGGCTATTTTCCCTGGGGTGTCAGAGGCGGAAGGGTGACCTTTATAGAGGTTTATAAAATCATGAGGGACATAGATAGGGTGAATAGCCGAGGTAATTTCCCTGTGGTGGGAGAGTCCAAAACTAGAGGGCATAGGTTTAAGATGAGAGAGGAAAATTTAAAAGAGACCTAAAGGACAACTTTTTCACGCAGATGGTGGTGTGTGTACGGAATTTGATGTCAAAGGAAGTGGTGGAGGCTGGTACAGTTACAACATTTAAAAGGCACCTGGATGGGTATATTATTGGAAGGGTTTAGAAGGATATGAGCCTAATGCTGACAAATGGGACTAGATTAATTTAGGATGTCTGGTCGGCATGGATGAGTTGGACCGAAGTGGGTGTTTCTGTGCTGAATATCTCAATGACTCTATGAAAAGCATGTAGAAATCTTCTGATGACAGACTCCATTTTGTTTAAGAATGTCCTAACTGATTTCTTCTTCATCTATGGGTCCTCATGTGGTTTGAGTCCAATGTAGGATATCCACAAAACTGAAAATTGATGCTAGTCATTATTAGTGGTTGTGGGAACTTCAGATGTACCACTTATCCTCAGGGTTAAATGTTGCAAACTTTGTGTAGATTGTCTTTGTCTTTGTCTTTGAAACATACTGAACCAAATTTCAATGCTTGCATCCACATAGAATAGTCACCTGCAGTGTTTTTGCAAGAGAGGTGTTCTGCAATGCAGAATTTAAATTTTTTTTCTCCAGGGTGTTCTTTATGGCTTGCACTAACTAGCTTTTAATTTTAAAACAGTTTCTCATCAAAGACCCCTTTGGGGTTCTGTCATCATTCATGCCAGAGATGTAACCTGCCCATCTCAGTTGGATTTTGTGGAGGTCTTCATGCTGTTAAGCCCAGCACAATGAAAGACCTCATTGTTTGTGACTTTTGTCTTGCGTTGAATTGACTCTGGATCCTGGGAGTCTTTGCTGGAAGAGTTGCAGAGCAAAAGAATGAAGTTGAACCATACTAGGCCATTCTCCTTGTAGCTGTGTTGAATGGTGAAAAATCCTGGGTCTGTGCCTTGCAGGAGAGAAGTGATGACAGTGGTCTGATCTGCTTAATGTGAACCAAGTGCAGAAGAATGATATTCAAACCTGAATGGCAGTCACGTATAGCCCGCTCAAAGGAACAAATTGAATCACTATTTTGTTGTCTTTTTTAGTAACAAGTTGTAAAAGGTATTTCTCCATCAGAAAAGGCACTGAATTGGCTGCATTCGTTGCCATACGGGATCGGAGACTTCCATGCTTGCAATCAAATTGACACATTTAAGATGCCAAATACAGTAATTGTTCTTTTCTCATTTAATATTAAGGAATTCTTTGCATAAGAAAGCATTCTAACCTCTGTCCTTCTGGCCAGTGAGCTTCTACCAGTATTCTCACATCACAAGTGGCAAACAATGCCCATCTCCACCAAATATAATAATATCATCTCGCATTTAGTTTCAACAACATTACCATTATTGAAACCTGCATCATCAAAGTTCTGTGGGCTGTCATTGATTAGAAACTTAACTAGACCAGACATAAAAGTATCACAGCTACAAGATTAGATTCGAGATTAGAAATCTTCTGGCAAGTAACTCATCTCCTGGCTCTCCAAAGCCTGTCTACTATCTACAAGGTAAGTATCAAGAGTATGCTGAAATACTGTCTATTGCTTTATGAACATAGCTCTCAAGATTCAAGAAACTCAACTCCATCCAGCAGTGTTCTTGATTGACACTGTATCCACCAACCTAAACATTCATTACTAGTGTTGCCATCACACACTAGCATTGGTAGGTGCTGTTTTCAAGACATACTGCAGAGACTCGCCAAGCCTCCTTTGACCATATCTTCTAAACCCACCACACTTAGTGTTGAAAAGGGCAAGGGCAGTAGTCACATACTCCCTGCAAGGCGCACACCATCCTAAATTGGAAGTATATCAATATTCCTTCACTTTGCTGGGTCAAAACTCAAAGCTCACCTCTCCAAGGCGATTAAAACGGTCAACAAAGCATACTTTAATCCCATAGATGCATATGTATATTTTAAAAAAAAGTCCTGCACCACCTCATGATGAAACTGAATGTTATCTGCCTTTGATTTAACTCTGAAATTTTCTTTCTTTTCCCCATCCCAATTGTAGCTATTTTAAATCGACCATACATTGACACAGATGAGATTGGAAAGAAACTTCTAACAATACAATTTCTATCCAAATTTGGTAAGTGAACGTAGGAAAGTTACGTGAATCAATTATTAAGGTTGTAATTGGGCATTTGGCAGTTGGAAAAACTCCAGGTAATCGGGAAAATTCAGCATTATTTTGTGAAAGCAAAATCATGTTTGACAAATTTATTCAAATTCTTTGAAGGAATGATTGTGTGCTTTGGATAAGGGGGACGCTGATGTACTATACTTGGATCTCCTGAAGGCATGGGCAAAGTTCCACATAAATCATTATACAAAGTAGGAACTCCTGGCATTGGAGGTAACATACTAGCATGAATGGAAGATTGGCTGGCTGGCAGAAAACAGAACGCTCAAATAGATTAGCAGGATGGCATGTATGGGATCGCACAAGGAACTGTGCTGGGCAGTTAGACTGGGGGATTGGAGACATGGTGGCTGAGATTGCAAATGGCACAAAGATAAGTAGGAGTCTCTTTTGTGAAGATGACATCACAAGGATGCAAACATCTGGCCAGGTAAGTGAATGAGTAAACATCTGGCAGATGGTGTATAATGTGGGAGAATGTGAAGTTGTTCATTTGTGCAGTAATTGTAAAAAAACAGAATTATTTGAACAGGACAACCAGAGTTCTGAAGTTGAGTTCCAAAACGTTAGTATGTGTGACCTGCAAGTAATTACTATTCACAATCTACATTGATGTAGATGAGGAAATGAAATATAATATCTCCATGTTTGCAGGCAACACAAAACTGGGTGGGAGGGTGAACTGACGATGCAGAGCTGCTTTAGTGTGATTTAGACAAGGTGAAGGAGTGGGCAAATGCATGGTAGATGAAGTATAATGTGGATAAAGGTAAGGTTATCTACTTTAGTAGCAAAACAGGATGGCTCATTACTAGCTGAAGGGTAATCATCTTCATATAGATATACTCAAAACATTTAAATCAGTATAAAATAAAGACCAAAAGAACTGCGGATGCTGTAAATCAGGAACAAAGACAAAATTGCCGGAAAAGCCCAGCCGACCTGGCAGCATCTGTGAAGGAAAAAAGAGTTAACGTTTTGGGTCTGGTGACCCTTCCTCAGAACTGAAATCAGTATAAACTGATCATATGTCAGTTTAAATCAGTTATACTGATTTAAATTTGTGCAGAGTTGTATGTGATCGGCGTGAATTTAAATGCAGCACATTTTCATTTTCAGAGAATGATGCCACACCACTGGAATCTGTTTTAAAAATTCTGGATCAGTTGAAGGCAGAGTTCTCGATTGGTGAGGATTTGTTCCAAGAGGTCAGAGGAGCTGTGGTGGAGCAGGTTAGTTCACCATGTTGATTTTTAAAATAAATTTATACATTCAAATTTTTTGAAACAACAAACATGGCAGGAGTAACTATTCGCTTCTGGCCTGCACCTTTCATTTACTTTTTTTTAAATCTAACTTAGTTCACAATCGGCATCTTGTCACGATATGATCAAAAATAGAAACTGAAACTTTGTTTTTGTTTAACCTCTCCGACATCAACAGTTCGTTCATGTTTTATGGTCAGAAATACATCTGTCATAATTTTAAAATCACGATTCAGTTGTTCCTGTTTAACATTTTTTCTCCCATTACGCTTTTGTACAAATAAAATGGGGAACTTACCAAGCTTGTATTGTTGAGGTAGTTTGGTGCAAAGCAAGAAAATAATACTGTACTTTATGTATGCTTTGTACTTGTGTATCCCAATTTCTCTGTCTTGGTTCTCAAAGTGTACAATACAGCGGATGCTAGAAATCTGAAGTAAAAATTCAGATCTCTGGCCAAACTCAGCATGCCTGGCAGCATCTGTGGCAGGAGAATGAGGTTTGAATAGGAGAAATTAGGTCAATTCTGCTAAAAGCAAGCAAATAAGACAAAAAGTGGGGTGGAGTAATCAAAGTAGAGGACAGTATTAATGTTCTGAAGTTGTTGAACTTAATGATGAGCCCTGAAGACTGTAAAGTGCCTTAGCAGAAAATGAGGTCTGCTCTTCCAACTTTCTATTGAACTTTACTGTAACACTGCAGCAGGCCAATGATGGAAATATTGGCATGGAAGCAAGATGGTTTATTGAAATAGTAAGGAATTAGAAGGTGGGTTCATTCTTACAGACAAAGATGATTTGCAAAGCAGTCATCCAGCCTGCATTTGGTCTCATCAGTAAAAAGGAGACTGCATTGTAAGCAGTGAATACAATAGCCTAGGCTGAAAGAAGTGCAAGTAAATTGGTGCTTACTGGAAGATGTGTTTGAACAGTGAGGAGGGAGGAACATAAAACAGGAAGTGTTAGATCTTTTTCTTTTCTTGGGAGGTACCATGAGGTGTTGGGGTGAGCTGAGGGATCATAAGGAGTGATGGAAAAGTGGACTTGGTTGTTGTGGAGGGGACGGTCCCTGCAGGATGCTGACTGTAGAGGGAAGGGGGAAGATGCATTTGAAAGTGGTGGAAATGGCAGTGGATAATCCTTTCAATGCAGAGGTCAAGGGAACCCTACAGTTGTTTTGTTAGAGAGGGCAGAAGTGTGGACAGTGAGTTGCTCACAGCTCTGTCGCCCATGTAGGGGACCGGATTTCTCGGTTGTGGAAAAAGGACCCTAGTGGAATGTAGCATTTTAAGAACATGTGCGATAGAGGCATTGGGAGAATGGAATGGAATCCTGTCAGGAAGCAGAGTGTAAGGAAGTCTAGTTACAATAACTGGGAGACAGGCTGCTCGTCAATATCCAATCCACTGTCACCAGAAATAGAAGCAGTGGAATCGAGGAAAGAAGGGAAAGATTCTGGAAGCAAAACTGATGCATTTTCAATTCAACAAGAGTGGGAAGCAGCAGAGATGACATCATTGATGTACCAGCGAAAGTGTTTACTTATATCTGCAAGTTCAAACCTACCAGTCTAACTTGTATCTTAATCATTCCTTTGCCACCATTAACATTCCCATTGTCTTTTGCTCTGGGCACCCTCGCCATCTGATCCACTCACTCCTCCGTCCCCTTTGTCAACACCTTAAAACCCATTACTTTTCAGATCCCTTCAAGTGCTGAAGAAGAGCAAGTAGTCTTGAAACATTAATGTTGTTTCTCTATCCATAGATGCTGCTGTTGAGTTTCTCCAGCATTTTCTGCTTTAATTTGGTTCACTTGATCACGTCGACTGTAGAATCTAAGTGCTCTCATTTTATTCTCCTTGCTGACTTTCCCCACGACCAAGTATGGTTTGAGGTAAAACTCGGTTACTTAAAAGCCATAAAATCTAAATGCTGAACTTTTGCACAATGCTGCTAGACTCACCAGAGAGTTTGGAAGGTGTAGGTTCCAGCTCCACTCTAAACACACGAGCTCATAATCTAGTTTGACCATTTGGACAAATAGCAGAGGTGCTGCATGTTAGAGGTACCATCTTTTGGATGTGATGTTAAACTGAAACCCTGTCTGTCCTTTCAGGTGAATGTAACCAATCCTGTGGCACTATTCAAAAATGAGTAAAGGAGTTCTTCTGGGTCCTGTCAAAGTTTATCTCTTGGCATCTGTCACCAATATTTTGTCTGATTTATTTATCTTGTTTCTATTTATGGTACTTGGTTTCTGCAGTTGATACTTAATTATCTGTGAAATTCTTTGGAGGACCATTAGGAATTATTTAAATGCAAATTCCTTTTATTCTAGTAATAGGAGATGTAATTAGAATATTAAAATAGGTCGGAGTTTTATCTGTTGAGGTTATGTCTTCTCAGGGAAGCATTTTAAATTATCCACTGTATGTTTTCTGTTGTTCTTCTGTGATCAATATGTTGGAAATGTTACCTAAGTTTAACATGTCACAAATCCTTTTTTTTTTTTTTGGAAATAAGATTGCCTATGTACACTTTGTAGAATTTTGATAGCTATAAATATCTGTTGATCTCCCAAATCAATTTGTTGCTTAGCTGAAAGAAAGTTGGATTGATATCAAAAATATGCTTATCACCTATACATAGACTTAATTAAACATTAGTTGTCAAATCACTAGGGATGAGATAGATTCTTGTGGTGCAGTGGTAGTGCCCCTAACTCTGGGCCAGATGTCTGGGTTCAAATCTCACCTGTCACAGGGATATGTCTAAGCAAGTTGATTTGCAAATAAGTTTTTAGAACTCAATTTTTACTTAAGTTGAGGGAAGAACCTTATTTTTCTTTGCTAACCCATTAATGGATCCTTAAAATTAAGGACTTATCACAGCTGTTCTTGTCCTGAATGAGATGGCTGGTTGGTAGTGGGGTTGTTGGAAATTGGCCAGATATTTCAAAATTGGGTTCAAAACAAAGTTAGTTGTGAAAGATGGTCCTTTGTTTCACTTTGAACTTGAAAAGAAACCGTGCATACAACTTCCATACAAATATGGAAGCAGGAGAGAGCCATTCAGTCCCTTGAGCATTCTCTGCCATTTAATAAGATCCTGGCTAATTGAAACCTCACTCATTTTCCCATTTACCCTGGATAATCTCTCACCCCATTACTTACCAAGAATCTTATCTGTCTTAAAAAATATTCATAGACTTTGTTTTAAGCATGTTTTCAGTGTGAGAGTTTGAAAGAAGCTCAACCCTCTGAGAAAAATAAAATTCATCTCATTCTCTGTTTTAAATGGGCAACCTCTTATTATTAATCAGTAACCCTTAATTCTAGATAATCCCCGTTTTAAAAAAAATCTCTCCATTTCTATCCTGTCAAGAAATCTTGTATGTTAGAATTATGTCATATCTTACACTGCTAAACTCCAATGGATACAAGTGTGGCCTGTCCAGTTATCTTTCAAAAGACAGCTACCCATTTTAGGCATTAGTCTGGTAAACTTTGTCTGAAACATAAACACTCTACTTTTGTACTGAATTTTATATCCCAATAAATGATAACATTTTGTGAACTTTTCTAATTACTTGCTGGAGTTGCATTCTAACCATTTGTGATTCATGAACTGAACACCCAGATCCCTTTGCATAGAAGATAGAACATTACAGCGCAGTACAGGCCCTTCGGCCCTCAATGTTGCGCCGATCTGTGAAATCAATCTGAAGCCCATCTAACCTAAACTATTCCATTATTATCCATATGTTTATCCAATGACCATTTAAATGCCCTTAAAGTGGGCGAGTCCACGCCCTTACTACTCTGAGTAAAGAACCTGCCTGTGACATCTGTCCTATGTCTATCACCCCTCATCTTTGCCAAAATGCACAACTTCAGACTTTCCCTCAAATAAACTCCATTTGCCACGTCTATGTCTACTTGCTTTACCTATTTATATCTTTTGTGGCTTCCTTGTATTGTCTTCACCATTTACTTTCCTACCTAAACAGAAATTGCTAGAAAACCTCAGCTGATCTGACAGTATCTGTGGGAGAAATCAGAGTTAACATTTCAGGTCCAGATTTTTTAAACTTTCCTGTCAATCTTTGTGTGGTCTGCAAATTTTGGCATCAATACCTTCTATACCTTCGTTCAAATTGTTTATCCATTGACATTCTGGCAGTGATCCTTGGGGCACACCACTTGTTAAATCTTACTCATTGGAATGTATCAATGCTGTGAATTCTGAAATATCTCTTTAAAGCTCTTTAATCTGGACTAACTTTTTTTTTCCCTGCAGCACTCTAAGCATCTCCCCGCAAACTACGGCATAAATGCTGTCCCGTCCAGACTTCACTTCAGCTTTGAAGAGTCATCTAGACTCAATATTAGTTTGCTTTCTCTCCATGGATGCTGTGATCTCTAGCATTTGTTGTTTTCAGTACAGATTCCAGCATCTGCAGTAATTTGTTCCTCGAACTCTGGTCTCCTTAGCATCTGAGCCACTCATCATCCTGGCTTGGTGGTCAGGAAATGTATATCACTGTTCCTTCACTGTCTCCGAGTCCAAATCCTGGAAGTCTCTCCCCTGTGGCATTTTGGGCCTACCTACAGCATATGGATGCAGCAGCTCATGAAGGCAATTCACTACCACCTTCTCGAGGGCAAACAGACGATGCTGACCCAACCGACGATGACCTGTCCCATGAATGAAAAACAAAAGTTGTACCACTTTGACAACTCTGCCTTGGGTTGCCTGAGCCCTTCAATCTTGAGTTTCTTCTTAGACCTCGTCACCTTTATCTCTCACCACCTTCCTAAAACTCAACTTTTGACCAAGCATTTGATCATCTATCTGATATCTTTTGATATCATTCAGGGTCAGCCTTTGTTTGGTAATGCTACTGTGAAATTCCCTGTTGCACTTTACCATATTAAAAGCAAAAATAAATCCAAGTTATTACATTATCTTCTGTCTTCTATCCAGTTCATCTCACTTAAAACTCTGCTCGTGTTAGCCTGTGCTAAGTCCTGTTGGCAAGACAGTGTAGAATATTTGTTCTCATTGCTGAATGCTGCCCATTCAGCACTTCCATCCATGTTTTCAAACTTTTTAATGTTTTCTTACCTCTAACCTTCTCTAGTCCTGACAACTCGCTCATCTTTCATCATATTTCCCTGGGTCTTTTGTGCAAATCTGCTACTACTCTGCCAGAACAGTTAGAAGATAACTTTCATTGTTCTACCCCATTGGAATTAGCAGAAGTTAGAATCTGACATCACTTGGGCACTTAAAATTGTCATTGGTGGCCTGGCAACTGAATTATTCAGTTACTCCATGATTGCTGACGCATCATTTAAACACATACTTGCTGGGTGGGACATGTTGAAAAACAGTTTCTTAAACCATTGCAGTATGTTACCAATGAAATGTGCATTCACAAATTCTTTTACGTCAAAGTATTTCCTTTTAAGCATTGTTTCTAAAGGCGCCGAAATGTTTGCAGGAAGAAATTGGGCTGGAGTGCACAGCAGAGTCTGTTCGATAGAATATCAGATCCTAAAGTTAGGTTTCGAAGAATACAGTCTGAGATCTTTCCCCGTATGTTTTCATTAACAATATTAATTAAATCTCTGGGAAATACAGTTGCTATCTTTAGCATATTCCAATCAGAAATGCAGGAAAATAAGTTTTATAAGAGACAACGTTTTGTAATAGACACCAAAATTTACTATGGATGCTACTAATGAGAAAATTTCACTGTTAGACTAATGAATATGAACATCTCTATATACTAGCTGTTCAGCCTTTTCTCATGTTTTCTAGTAATTACAGAACCTTATTGACTCCTGTTTTTTCAAAAAATTATATACCAGAACCTCTGTGCTCATGTTGCTGTAATGGTATCCCAAGACATTCATCCACCAGATGAGACTTTAAACTGACACTTCATGTACATATTTCAAAAGAGCAGATTTTTCCAGTGTCCTAAGGTAATCTTCCTCCCTCAACCTAAATCACTCAAACAAATTTACTCATTTTTCATTTCATGTCTGTCCGCATCATTGCATGTATTTTCCCATCACTGCATTCCAAAGTAATGCGCTTTGTGAAGTATGCTGAAGAGGCTTTGACCTGGCAATATTTGTAATTATTTGATACTTTAGGGTTTCCCAACAGGTTTGTGTCAAGGATTTGTTTAATTGCCTTTTTTAATTATACATGGCTGGTTCTTGTATTTTAAGAAATTTATTACAAAACATGGAACAAAATAATGCCCAAATGCTGTTAGTCATCTCAATATTTTACATTTTAGAATTGTTGCCCAGATAAATAGGGTAATGAGAGGTAATCAATGCAATAGTTTGAGATGGTTTTAAAAATGAACAAGAAATGTGCAAGAACAATATCCAGGTAGAAGTTCAGTACTTCACATTTTTTCCTGACAATTTCCATAGATCTTCCTTTATATTATGTACGATCGTATAGGATATCAAATACATTAGCAGGTCATTATCCAGACAGCCAATGCTGGTGTTTTTGCTCCACGCAAGTTGCCTCATCCAAATTGTATTGTAATTCTGTATTCCCTTCTCACTCCCATTCTTGTCTTTAATTTCCATAATGCATCTATAATATTTATTTCAACCACTTTCTATGATAGAAACTCTATCTTCTTCTCCTCACTCTTCAGAATAAAATGCTTTTTCTGAATTCTTGAATAGATTTCTTGGTGACTTTTTTTTTAATGGCCTCTAGTTATACTCCTTCCCACAAGAGGAAACATTCTCTGTGTACCCATTCTTTCAAAATCTATCATATTTGAAAGAATCAGTTCAACTTTCAGCCATTTCTTTCTCCCCCCAAGGGTGAAAAAGAACCAGCTCGCTAATCCATTCCTTATCAAGTTGCCCACGTATTTCTGGTATTATCCTTGCAACACTTCTCTACATACTTTATATCCATTTTATAATGTGGCATTGACCTGTGGTGTAATCAAAGTTCAGTGCAGGTTCAGCGTAACTTCCCTACTTTTCAATTCTCTTCACCCTCAAGGAGTAAAGCTAAGTGCTTTTTGCTTTCATATGTGGCCTTGCTAACCTGCAGCAGAACTTTTATTTATTAGTGTTTTTATATTCTGTATTTATATTTTGTTCCTCCACCCAACTGGACTTGCATCTTCTAAGTAATGTTACTTCCCAATACAAATTGCATCATCTTTCAATTGTTAAAATTCACTTGCCAATTATTATTGCAAGTTTATGAATTTGTATAAAATATTTCAGTCCTTCTCAGTATTGACTGTTCTCATGCCTCCGGCCAAAATTAGGTGTCATTTGAAGATTTAGAAGTCATTACTTGATTCTAAAGTCCAAATCAGTAATGTAAATTTTAAATAGCAATGATTCCAGCATTGATTCTTGTGTCTGACCACTTCCCACCTTGTGTCTTTTTGAACAACCGCCCTTTTTGTCATGAAGTCAGATTGCTTTCCATTGTGCCACTTGTTTCCTGCTACTCTGATTCTCTGTCCTGACTTGTTTATTTAGGCACCTTAATAAAGACCGTTTGAAAATCTGGGATAAGTTAAATCTATTGTATTACCACTTTTTACTCTGTTAGTTCTTCAAAAAAGAAAATATTGTGACATTGCCACTTGAGCAGTCTTAAGTGGTATCTCCAAACATTTTTTCCTTAAAATTAGCTTCTGGGATGAACCAGTTAATTCTGTAAATGAAGCCTTGTTAGTGGTGAAATCTATAACTAGGATGCTTACTTTCCAGGATTGTGCTCCATTGATTTGATTGGAGGTCAGCGAGAGGCGATCACTTCCTCAAAGTTGGTCAGCTACTTTTGTAATTTGAAATCTTGAGTGTAAATAATGTTTTGTCCTCTCTTTCTAAAGGCTGCAGTTGAATCCATTAAGAATAACTGTTTTCTGGAAGCTTCTAAGATTTTGGAACGGCATTTCAAAAAGGGCAGCATTGATGAGGTATGCCTATATCTGTTTAATCAAAACTAACAAAATCTGATATTTCTGTGTTGGTCGAAACAGTCACCTAGTCTACGTTTGGTCTCACCGATGAAGAGAAGACCGTGTCGGAGCACTGGATACAGTAGAGTAGGTTGAGGGGATGCAGGTGAAGCTCTGTCTCACCTGGAAGGACTGTTTAGGGCACTGGATGGAGATGAGGGAGGTGGTGCGTGGCAGATGTTACATCTAAAGAACATCTTTGCCTGGCCCTTAACGGCCAGCCTAAGCTCCCGGTCACCATCCATTTCAACCCCACTCCCACACCCCCTCTCCCTCCAACATTCTGTCCTCAGCTGCCTCCAGTGTTGCAGTGATTCGGAACGCAAATTTGAGGAACAACACCTAATCTTCCACCTGGGCACCTAAAGCCTGGAGGACTTAATACTGAGTTCTCCAAATTCAAGTAACCTTCCCACCCATCAGCTGGCTCCCTTTCCAGCCCCACCTCATCCCTTCCATTCCACTTACTGACCATCCCTTCCAGCCACCAACTGGATTCATCCTCCCATTGATCAACCAGGTCATACCTACTACCAGTGTCCACTTATCACCATTCTGCTACTACCCTCTCCTCACCTCTTTATCTGCAGCTGTCCCTACCCCCACATCCAGCCCTGAAGAAGGATAATACCCAGAACGTTGGCTTATCCTTTCCTTCAGATGCTGCTTGGCTTGTTGTGTTCTTGCAGCCTCCTGTTTGTCTATCTTGGATTGCAGCTATCTGCAATTTTTTTTGTCTTTGTAGATGAAAATCTTCATTGCCTCCAATATTCAGCTCAATATCGAATCAGCTCAGCAAAAGGGCATTTGAAATCTCAGTTCTGAGGTTAAGATTATGGTTTACTGGGCAGTCATGATCTAAGTTCTCCTATATGCTTCAGAGATTGGATAACACTTATTGGCATTTCAGAATATTTTAGAAGCACCACCAATAGTGTTTCTACAAGATTCACTGGCAACAAAGTCCTTTCCCAAGTAAACATGTATAGCATCGCAACGCTAACAACTTTGTTGGCATGGTCATTTTGTTCCACGTTTTGGTCCTTAGATTCAAACAAAGCTTTTAGAAAGTATTACGAAGAACTCCAGAAGTTTCTGAGAATCTTCAATGGAATCTCTAAATGCACACATTTGACCAAGTACTTTAGCTACTTAACCACGAAACAGATACCCAAAGTTATTGCTCTACTCTGAATTCAGTTGTGCTGGTGGATTCCCAGGAGGACAGTGGAAATGCTTTGTTGACGCCCTCAAAACATCTCTGAACTGAACGGGCATACTCACTGACTCATGGGGAAACACCTGGTTTGTGAACAACCAAAATTGAGAAGGATCATTCAGGAAGGCACTGACAACGTAGGAGACTTCTTTGGGAGTGCATAGTGGTGAAGTGTTGGAGAGAGTGCACAAGCCACTAAACAATCTATTTACCTGCCCCACATGTCAAAGTCGTTCAGATCACTCACTTGACTTGTCAGCTGTTTCGAAGCCCAGAAAGATGGAGTAGATGCAAGGCTTCCTCAATTCCAAGACACTGGCCTGGAAGGAAAAGAGCCATAGCCATGGTCTGTCTTAATAGTAGATTGTTATTTTCTATTAATCTTTTGTCAAGTAAAACACAGATGTAGATGTTATGTTTACAAATTATTAGAATGATTGGAAAATAAATAATCAGTATGATAGGATTTAATAATTGAGGCATTGTTTTTCTAACTACAACAGGGATGTTGTAGTAGCAAATGCACTAGTAATTATTTACCAAAATTCACTGGACTCTGGGGTGGTTCCCGCAGATTGGAAAGCAGCCAATGTGATGCCACTGTTTAAAAAAGGAAGTAGACAAAAAGCAGGTAGCTATAGGCCAGTTAGCTAACTTCGGTAGTGGGGAAAATGCTTGAATCTATCATTAAGGAAGAAATAGCAAGACATCTGGATATAAATTGTCCCATTGGGATCACCCAGCATGGGTTCATGAAGGGTAGGTCATGTTTAACTAATTTGGTGGAATTCTTTGAGGACATTACTTGCATTGTGGTCAATGGGGAACCTGTGGATGTGGTGTATCTGGATTTCCAGAAGGCATTTGACAAGGTACCACACCAAAGGCTGCTACATAAGATAAATGTTGCGCGGTATTACAGGTAATGTATTGGCATAGATAGAGGATTGGTTGACCAGTAGAAAGCAAAGAGTAGGGGTAAATGGGTGTTTTTCTGGCTGACGGTCAGTGGCTAGTGGTGTGCCTCAGGGATCAGTGTTGGGACCGCAATTGTTTACAATTTACATAGATGATTTGGAGTTGGGGACTAAGTGTGGTGTGTCAAAATTTGCAGATGACACTAAGGCGAGTGGTAGAGCAAAGTGTGCAGAAGACACTGAAAGTCTGCAGAGGGATATAGATAGTCGAAGTGAGTGGACAAAGGTCTGGCAGATGGAGTACAAGGTTGATAAGTGTGAGGTCATCCATTTTGGTAGGAACAACAGCAAAATGGACTACGTTTTAAATGGTAAAAAATTGCAGCACGCTGCTGTGCAGAGGGACTTGGGTGTCCTTGTGCATGAATCGCTGAAGTTGGGAGTGCAGGTGCAGCAGGTAGTTAAAAAGGCAAATGGAATTTTGTCTGCCATTGCTAGAGGGATGGAGTTTAAAAACAGGGAGGCTATGCTGCAGCTGTATAGGGTTCTGGTGAGGCCACACCTGGAGTACCGTGTGTAGTTTTGGTCTCCTTACTTGAGAAGAGATATACTAGCACTGGAGGGGGTGCAGAGGAGATTCACTCGATTGATTCCAGAGTTGAGAGGGTTGGATTATGAGGAGAGACGGAGTAAACTGGGATTATACTCATTGGAATTCAGAAGAATGAGGGGAGATCTGATAGAAACATATGATTATGAAGGGAATAGATAAGGTGGAGGCAGGGAGGTTGTTCCCGCTAGCAGGTGAAACTAGGACTAGAGGGCATCGCCTCAAAATAAAGGGAAGCAGATGTAGGACTGAGGTCAGGAGGAACTTCTTCACCCAAAGGGTTGTGAATCTGTGGAATTCCCTGCCCAGTGAAGTGGTTGAAGCTACCCCGCTGAATGTTTTTAAGGTAAGGCTAGATAAATTTTTGGACAGTAAAGGAATTAAGGGTTATGGTGAGTGGGCGGGTAAGTGGAGCTGAGTCTCAAAAAGATCAGCCATGATCTTATTAGATGGCGGCGCAGGCTCGAGGGGCCAGATGGCCTATTCCTGCTCCTAGTTCTTATGTTCTTATGTATTTAGTTGAATTTGAAAATGCTAAATGCATGTCCTTTCTGATACTAGACTTATGGAGTGATCTATAATGCAAATTCTTGATAGTTATTTGTATCACTTGTACATAAATTAATACATATTTTTTCAGCATGAAATCTAAATGAATCGGTGATTAGACATTAGTAGCTTTTAATCTGTTAACAATTGCAATAACATGCAACTTGTACTGACCATGCAAAATATACAGTAATAATATCAATATGTGCATGACTCCAAAAAGTAAAAGGTGAAGTACATTTTGATGTAGAATACATAGTATTAAAAAGTTGCTGATATATCTTAATATAAATAATACAAATACACCACCCAGCATGTTACTTTTCTAATATTTCCTGTATCACGCTTCCTTCCCGTTCAATATTCTGGGATGGCCAGATTTCCTTTTTTTTTAAATTTTAATCTATTTTTCTATTCAGCCTCTTCAGAGATGTTATTACACACCTCTGGAGCAGGTGGAACTTGAACCCAGGCGTCTCTGTTTTGGGGGCAGGGGACATTACCACTGTGCCACAAGAGGGCCCTGGCCAGCTTTCCTAAATAAGTGGCTTGATTACAAACAGCTGCGTTTAAATGGTATCAATAACCCTACTCTGTCCTGTGTCAACTGATCTGTTAAAACATTCAATCACCCTTTGTTATCTCTAGAATTGCCTATTACAATGCACTGCTTTCTGGTCTCTCATTTTTTACAACGCTCTCTGCTTGAGGTCACTGAGATCTCTGCTGCCCATCTCCTAATACACACCGATTCTATTCACTCATCACCCTGTGCTCACAGGTTGAGAATTTAATACCGTTGAAAAGAACCGTTAGCCTAACATCTGCACTCCCAAAAGTTACAATTAACAGCACTTGTCATGTTCACCTTAGATTTTCAAAACTTGATTAAAACTGAAGTATAAGCAACTGGAGAAATCAACAGTGAATATTGCACAGTAGGACAAAAGTAGTCATTTGTTTCAGAAGCTTGAATCAAGCAAATAATTACATTAATAATTAAATAATATTGATGTTAGTTTCAATAGTTTGAAGAACAAAAAGTATATAGCCTTATTGAGTAGGTGATGTGCTATACAACAGTTAATGGGAAATAGAAGGGAATTGCAAGTCAAATGGAAAACAGAACTAATCAGCGATTTAAATTTATGGATATTTTCTAATCAGTTCATGCAATAATGTAATGACACACCTTTGGAGCAGGTAGGACTTGAATGGGGGTCTCCTGGCTCAGAGGTAGGGAAACTACCACTGTGCCACAAGAACTCAGGTTTATATTTATATTTATACAGTACTATTCACAGCCTTGGGGTGTCCCAAGCACTTGTAGCCAGTGACGTATTTTTAAACTGCTGAAACTGATTGCAATGCAGGAAATGTAGTAACCAGTTCACTCTCAGCTGCTCTCGTAAACAGTAATGTGATGAATACTAGATAACAGAGATAGTAGGAACTGCAGATGCTGGAGAATCCGAGACAACAAGTTGCAGGGCTGGATGAACACAGCAGGCCAAGCAGCATCATAGGAGCAGAGAGGCTGACGTTTCGGGCCTAGACCCTTCATCAGAAAAGGGGGAGGGGAAGGGGGTTTTGAAATAAATAGGGAGAGAGTGGGAGGCGGATAGAAGAGGGATAGAGGAGAGGATAGGTGGAGAGGAAACAA